TAACGGACAAACACAAAGAGAGAATTAATGTAAATGAAATGAGAGATTGTCCCTACAAGATTCAGAGCAAATTCCTACCTTTGTTTGACCGGTGTAGGCAATAGCCTGCTTCTTGACTGGAGAAAATTGAATCAAGTTATTTGAATGAGGTCTTCCCCACTCATCTTGTAGGGAGGCTCGCGGTCTGTTAAGTTCATTAACCTTCTGTTGGACCAACGGTTTCAACTTCTCCAGTTCATTCAAAGAATTCAGCAATTTCTAAAGCAACAAATTAAAAATCAGATCACATCCAAAAGTTTGTATAAACAAAATCTTTTTGAGAGAAGAGATACAACAAGTCCACCTTTCTCAAAGCAACTTTCTTGCTTTGCGGAGATGCCTTATAATCTCGGTGACATGGTATTGTCTCGGACACCAAACTAGAACCAAAGAAAAGGAAGATACCTTAATGCCGTCTAATGACAAACATACCACAAAATGAACTCCACACAACTGATGCCTTTTAAGAAATACCATGAGTAAAGTAATGCTACTTGCCACATTTTTCTTACCTAGAAAATCTTAGAAGCATAACATATAGATCAATAATATTCTTCTCTGCCCGAAAGATATCAGCCTGTAATGTCAAAACAACTGGAGCTAAAAGCTTATGCAAACCAACTGAATAATAAACGAAAAATTTCTGCCATAAATTTTTATAATAAGTTAAAATATAAAGCAAGACAATACACTCCGGAGGAGTGCTAAAAGTAATGCAAAAGATATTGATTATTCTCCATTCTCCAACATCCATATTCAGTATATCTATCAATTGTGGGTACTACTCAATGAATTAAGACCAAATGGCAGAACACAACCCATTTCACATATGAATCAAAGTTGCGCACCATTTCTGTAAAGCGTTGTCGTATACTATTGCACACAATTAATGCAGCTCAGGCTATTATTTCATCGTTAAAACGTGAAATTTCAGCAATCTTGAACCTCAAATTTTCTTCCAATCGTTAACTAAGGTTATCGACCAACGGGAGAAGAACGTATGGCAGCTCGAGGAGGAGCTAGGGCGGACCCAAGAAGCCCAATAACGGGATAGGACTCGAGCCGTAGAGCGACAAAGACTTTGGCAGGACATATATAGAATCCGCCAAAGAAGTCAGAGTTTCAAAATCAAAAAGGAGATTCAGAATTAATAATTTAATATCAGCAAAAGTTTAGCCAAGAAAATCCCACCTAAGATAATTCTCAGCAACGTAATCATTAAGATAGAGGGAAAATACCTGCTTGAGAATATTATCAGCGATCCGATAGTAGAAACGGATGGCAATCCGATTATCGACATCAAGTCTCTGAGCAATAGCAGCGATGTTGATTGTGTCGGAAGAAGACCTCATTTCCCCCGAGACTTTACTTTATCGTCTTCTTTCTAAACAAACAACATCTGCTAGTGGAAGTGTTGACCCTGTGAATCTTCTTTCGGCGAGGAACAAAAAAGATTGATCCTCAACGGCGGCTCCGGCAGAGATCAAAGGAGGGAGATAGATACGATCACGATGAAAATAGGCTTGTCATTGTGCTTTCTCATGAGGGCAAACTTGGCAACGCGAGTCTGTTAAGGGTCTGTTTCATATTTGGCTGCTGGAACGTCGCAATGATTTTACCTTCTTTTTAATTTTAATCAAAACAAAGTTTGGAAGGTATAAAATACTACTGTCCTTCCGGTCAAAAAAAAAAAATACTACTACCTCCGATCCTTAATATAAAACCCCGTTTGACTTTTTATTTAGTCCTAATTATAAGACCCCAATCCATTTTTTCTCCCATATTTATGTTTTTTTCTCCAAGATAATCCTTCTAATAATGATAGTTCTAGCCAATACACTTAATTAGTAAGGATATTTTAGGAATGACAACACTTATTTATTACAAATAATTAACTTAACTTACTTCCTTAATCTCCTCAAATAAGTCAACTAGGTCTTATAATTAGGACCGGAGGTAGTACCGTCCTTAATATAAAGTTTTATTTAATTTTTATTTTGATTTTAAATATAAGATTCTAATATACTTTTTTTTATACTTATATATTTTTTCTAAGATATTCCTTCTAACAATGATAGTTCTAACCAACACACTGATTAGCAAGAATATTTTAGAAAAAACAATATCTATTTATTACAAATAACTAACTTAACTTCTTTTCTCAATCTCCTCAAATTAGTCAACTAGCTTTTATAATTAGGATCAGAAGTAATATTTTTTATGAGAATTTATAAATGCTTGCTTAATTTAATAATTAATATTTGAAATGAGCACTGAAATAAGCTTGCAAACATCCATACTACCTCCCACCTCCAATTCTTAATACTCCTTCAGTTTTTAATATAGGACTTAATTGTTAAATTGATTTTAGTCCTAAATATAATGCTTATTTCTTATATTTATCAATTTTTTTAAAATTATCCATATGGATACTCCATCAACCATAATCAAGTAGAAGAGAGAGGGAAGACATTAAGGAAGATAATTATGGTGTTTTAGGAAAAATGTGTCATATTTCTTATAATTAACTAACTTACCTAACTTTTTTTAATCTAATCAAATTAGTTAAATAGATATTATATTAAGGACCGGAGGAGTATATGAGCTAGTTTGATATTCAACTTGGTCTTAAATATAAAATCTCAATCCATTTTGTCTTATTTATCTTTTTTTTAAAAACAGTTTTTGTAATAGTTGAATATATTAAAGGTTGTATCAAATAGTAGTTTTAGTTAATACACATAATTAGTAAGGTATTTTAAAAAAGACGACATCTATTTATTACAAATAACTAACTTAACTAATTTTCTTAACATCCCCATATGAGTCAATTAAATATTATATTAAGAATAGAAGGTAATACTTTTCAATTAAAAAAAAAACTTATATCTCATAATACTACATCCAATCCTTAATATAACAGTTAGATAACTAATTTGAAAATATTGAGAAAATTGGTTAAATTATTTTTTTGGTCACAAATGTGTGTTGGTCTTCTTAAACTATTTTCTTCTATCATATATATTAGATTATCAGAATTATCCTATCATAAGAACCCTTAACAATCAACTCAGATATTTTGAAAAAATATAAGGGATAAAATAAATTAAAATATTATATTTACGACAAATTCAACCTATCAATCAACTCTTATATTAAAGATTAAGGCTTTGTTTGATTCATTGGAGTGGAGGGGAGGGGAGGGGAGGTGAGGTGAATTAAGGGGAGGGGAGAGAAGGAGAGGGGAGGTTATGAGTTTTATTTGGTTGGAGGAAAAGAGAATGAATGGGAGATTTCTTATTTGGTTTAAGAGGAGAAAATAGAGGAACTAATTATAAATTGAAAAATATATCCTTATCTCTTTATTTAAACTTCTTTATTATGTTATTACGATATTTATATCATTATTATTATTTTCTAATTTGTGAATATGAAAAAATCAGATACCTTGAGACATAACAAATAAATTATAAATAAGCATACATGAAAATAAATGTCAATTCAAAAATATATTATAATCTTTAGCATGTTATATAAATTATAAATAAATTTATACTACAAGTTTTAAACTATTCCATCCTTAATTATATAACGTGCGCAACCGCACACACTTAATTAGATAATACACAAAGTTTTGTGTAAAAAATGAAATTGAATTAAAATAGGTATATGTGGACACATATATCAACAAATTTGATGATTGATAATATCATTTTAATAGATCTCAAAGATTTCAACTCGTATAAACCAATAAAGAATAGTTTTATACAAAATAAATGAATAAAAAACACTAATAATAATGATAAGATGAATAAGGTGAGGGATCAGGCAAGAGAAAAAGAGGGAAAAGATTAATAGCAAAGAGCGTGATAAATGATTAAATCAAAGAAAGAAAACATGCAAGGAAAAAAAATCTCTGAGGAGTTAAAAAAAATCCGTAAAAGAATAGTAGGAGTTAAAAAAAAGTTAGAAAAAAGGCAAAGAGTTAAAAAAAAAATTACCGAAAAGGAGAAACTTGGAATATTAAAAAACTATCATAAGTAATTTAGTCAAGATGAAACATAATATTTTTCTCCCCTCCTTTTCATTTTTCTAAACCAAACACAATTTCTTCTCCCCTCTCCTTCCCTCTCCCCAAAAATCTTCCAATCAAACGGTGTGTAAGGCCAGGAGGTATTAACTGACAAAATCCATAGGGATTGATAGGTTAGTTATTGTCATGAGCATGGGGAATCACTTGTTTGTGCGGATGAATTAGCTAAACTCTCTCATCTGCTACTAGCAAACTTTTGTATCCTTCATCACTTCATTTTTTACCTAGGAGGCGGAGGGTAATGAGTGAAGTAAGGTGCCGTGTTATTTGTATTCTTTTTGTCTTTTGATTCCAGTTTTTTTTTTTAAAAAAAAAAGGATAAAACTTGCAGCCTTGCTCTTTCGAGGAGCATAAATTGGGAATATTTCACCGCTAAAGAACAGCAGCCCGAGCTCAGGCAAATTAAAATAACATGAATGACACTATAATAAGTAACACCTCTTCCCACTTCAGCCGATGATGTCATCAGCTGTGTGGGCTCTCTGCATCGGCTGATCGGCTATCCTAAATGGCAAGCGGGGAGGGAAGTGTTTTGTGTTGTCATTGAGATTCATATGCATTGTTTAACTACATAAATTTGACGCACTGGTTGACTGCAACCAAAAACCGACAAAAAAAAAAATGACGCGGTTCCATGTGATGGGAGCGCTTATGATTAACATCGTTGTTATCTGGAAAAGTGAACTCCTTGTCCAAGAAAAAGTAGACTGCAGCGCTGACTTCACGGTTTCAAAAATTTCAGACTTTCTTCTTCCATCATCGTTACTCACCAATCTCAATATTTCTAATTTCTAAGGATCAGAATTTGTCCCTCCTTCCCTCCCTCTCTCTCCCACCCTCATTCTGCTGTATGATTCGTAGATCTCAGTTACTACTAAGGGTTCAACTTTTATCCCTCCAACACTAGGCTAAATGAGACCAAATTGGGAGCTCAAGAACTGCTGCAACCACGAGCAGGTGGTGTTTCTGGTCACTGTCAGTGTCTGCACTGTGGTGATTCTCGCGGTATGACTATCTGCTTCTTGCATTTTTCTTTTCCCATTTCATATCCTTCTTCGACTTAACTCTCTTGGATCCATTAAATGAACTCCATTTCCTTATACGACCTAAAGATGTGAATCCTACTTCGTTTCCTTAAGTTACTTCCGACATGGTGCTACCCCCATCAAATACTGGCCACATTTTGCAAATGGTTCTGGTTTCCCTCTCATATGTAGGGATGCTTTCTTCTGATTCTTTCCCAAATTGCGTCAATTAAGAACCAGCGTGGTTATTATCAACAAATTATTCTTTGAATTCTGCAAACTTATTCTCTGCAAATTATCCAAATTTTTGACTGAACATCCTAATTGGATTAATGAATGATCTTTATATGGATTCATAATTGATCACTTGAACTTATGCCGTGAACGGAATGAATCTGATATATTGATAGTTAGTTACTCGTATGCTTGTATTTTGTGATATAAAATCTTCTATTTATCTATCATTTCCTTGTGAATCCTTCTTTGATTCCTTGCAGCTTTGGAGAACAGTTCTACTCACACCTTTTAAGCTTATTACAGTATTTCTTCACGAGGCAAGCCATGCAATTGCTTGTAAACTTACATGCGGTCATGTGAGCATCTCTGTCCTTCTCTCACGTCCCCTCAAGTTATGTGCTAATATCTATTATGTCGATACAAGTTTTGAATAATACATGTTTTTACAAAAATGTGACTTAATATTTGTGTCCAAGAAGAGCCGCATTAGTTTAGCATTTATATTCCTTGAATACTTTCATACTTAATCTCCACTTCAGATGCTGAAAGTTATGTTAACTGCAGGTAGAAGGAATTCAAGTTCATGCAGATGAAGGTGGAACAACCCAAACACGTGGAGGCATATATTTGCTGATCTTACCAGCAGGATGTATTGTCTATTACATTCTAGATTGTGATATTTTCTGTGCCTGCCATTCAACATGCAGCAGCTAATTTATATATACTTACAATCTTTATGGAATATCTGTAAATGTTTGGATTTATTTGATCTCATGCTTTTAATCTATTCTGGTCATGGTGGCAATCCAGATCTTGGTTCAGCCTTCTGGGGCATGATCTTGATACTTGCATCAACAAATCTTCTTACTGCAAGAATAGCTGCTGGTTGTTTTATTGCTGCTCTACTTGTTGTCCTCTTTGTTGCAAAAAATGTAAGTACTAAGTAATGTTTTATCAGTGACTCGTCATTTGATGCAATTGTTTCTATTTTGAAATTATCAAACCATACAAATTGATTGTACAAGTCTTAGCATCCATGAAGTTACGACTATACAGACACATTACTTAAATCAAGTATCTTTGTTATTGTTTACAAACTTCAGTGAATAATTTGTGTGCTATGAATCATAAGCATTTCTGGAAAGAGCCACGTCCATGTTCCATATTCATAGAACCATCATAATGAACAAATACAATGATTCCGATTTTGTTATCTCTGGCTGTTTGAGTCAATGTTGTGTCAGTACTTTGCTTCTTTTCTTGAGTGAGTATTTTCTTTGTATGGAATACATGTGACCTATGCGGGGATGGTGTTTATCCAGTGGACTCTTCGAGGACTTTGTATTGGTATGTGCTTTCTTGGTTAAAGATTACTTATTCCCAAGTTACACCCGCTGCATCATGTTTCTCAGTTTATGCTTCTAAATTGAGGTCCCAGGGTTTATCATTTTCCTTGGTATAATATGGGCTCTTCAAGAGACGACCAAAGTTCGAATTTTACGGTACATTATCTTGTTCATAGGTAAGCAACATATTCTATAGTCATGGATCTAGAATTATATGGGTGCAGAATGCCAAATAAAGTGTTTGGGAGCCCTATACCAAGTTATAATTTGTAGGGTCAACTTTATATATTTGAAGCATGATGGCTTATCTCCATGAGGGGATCCTTGGCCAACTCCTGCGCCACATTATTGAAATTCATTTGATATTCTGTTATTTTATTTCAATATGCAGGTATAATGAACAGCCTGTTCTCGGTATATGGTATGACTTGAAACCTATTGATCTAGTATTAGATTGCCCATTATGAAATGATAAAATCCCTACAATATGGTTATGCAGATATTTATGACGACCTGATCTCTCGTAGAGTTCACTCCAGTGATGCTGAAAAATTTGCAGAAGTGTGTCCGTGCCCTTGTTCTGGATTCGGATGGGGCGTTATTTGGTGAGGAATGTAATTAGGAACTAATGATTGGACTTCATTTTTCCTCTATTGTGCTTACAGGACAAAGCAACCTGATCACCAAGTGTTGTTTCATTTAATGAATTCCAAAATTTCACTTGCAGGGGTCTGATATCTTTCATCTTTCTTTGTGTAGCCGTTTATCTGGGTATTGTGATCTTGTCATAAGGTAATTTGTACTTCTTCTTCACTCTTTTAGCCAAAGCCTGACGAACTGTCTTCATTTATTAGATGCAAATAGAAGAAATATCGATAGATTAGGTATATTGGTAAATTTTCTGAGGGTCTCATTGATCCAACAGCAGGGTTCTGCTCTGTAAAGCTGATTCTCTTGCTAGATTAAGGGCTGTGGCTTAATGGCGAGCTACCTCACAGTGATGTGCAAGCTTTGGATCATTTAGCAGCTCCACCGGGACTTGCCGTATAACAAAAGTTGGCCAAATACTTGGCGTGAAATATCACTTTCCATACGCATAATATGTGATAGAAAGTTGTATCAAGCAACCTGCAAAACTCACGATGTTAGGTAATTTATTTGTTTTTGTGATGGAGCTCCAGGGGCTATAGATAAGACATTAATTTAATGCCCCCACGAGGGCTGAACTCCAGGGGCTCTTCTGTCACATATTCATTCACATTGGCCTAAACTTACCCCAACACTTGTATTTTTTTCACATGTACTATATCACACAGCTTTATGAATTTAAAGTTTGAAATAAGAGAAAGAAATGGGGGTGCATGCACGATGATTTATAGTCTAACCAGCCTATGTAATAATTTATAGCTACAGAAAAGCATTTTATAGGTATATATGCTTTTTCTCAATGTTTAACTTGACCTCTAAACTTTTTCTTTTCTTCAGAAAACCCTTCAACTCTGGTTTATTAACATTGTTAACCCCTATAACTTTGTACAATTAGCTCCTATGCAAGGGCTAATAGTGCTAACTGCTAATTGAGCAAAATTAAAGAATTTAATTAAAAGAGAAAAATATGTAAGCACCAGATAAAAAATTGAATGAAAGTATAAGTATTTTTAAAATGGTTTTTCCCCTTTTAATTTAAATCATATATAAACAGCATATATTTGGTCTTCCTCACTGAAATAACTCAATAATGTGGAAGATAATAAATGACAAACGCCGAAGATCACAACCAGACGCAAAGCAGTGAATCACTAGTTTGAAGTCGGTGATTGCAAGAGTCAACCCCCCCCCCCTATAACCATACAATGAACAGAAGCCCGAAGGCGCTTATCTTCTCTATATGGTGCTGCTAGAATCGCCAATTGGGATTATTCCGATCTGGAATTGGTGCTCGTTTTGGTTTTTTTTTTTTGGGGGGGGGGTGTTTGGGAAATTGGAAGAAATCTTCAATGGATTAGAGCCGACTATGGCCTAATTTCGAAAAGATGGTTACTTCCTATTAAAACAGAAAATGGCGACTGAATCCAGCTACCACCTTTTTCTGTTTATCTTCAAACATCCTCCCACATTCCTGCAAATTTGAAGATAATCCCTGCTGAGATTTAGTTAGTTGGAAGTTTATTTAATTGACTAGAACATATCAATGCAAAAGATAGTTAGGGTAAAAACCAATGTTTTAGACAAATGGTTTTACATCAATAGCCCTGAGAAAGAATCTCATTGAGAGGACGAGGGAGCAGCATAGCGTAATCCAACCCTCCAAAAACACCCCCAAAATAAGGCATAACGAGCTGCAGTGCGCAGCATAAAATAAAAATGGAATTTAAAACGATTTGCACGATATAAGAATTATGCCTACGCGCTTTTTTTCTTTTTCAAAAATCAATAAGATAAACGCATGCGTAAATACTAAAAACGCATAATGAGTAATGACATGAAAAGGGAATCCAACCGGGCTGTAATTAAGATTTCCAAATAGAATGATGGCAACTACAAAACCAAATCCTACATAAATAGAGCCAAAGTAAGGCAACCTTTCTTCAACATCACCAAAAAAAGTCCATAGTAAAAGCCGAGACGTCCACAATATTTCAACTCTTGAAAAAATTCAAGCTATAGAAAACCTAAGCCTCTGTGCCAGGATAATCAAAGACCACATCTTTGCCCGACAGCTTCCTGTATACTGCAGCAAAAGTCTCAAGCTTGTACTCAGTGTTATTTCGCTCCTTGGGGTCCAAGAAAACCTGTGCCGAGGACAGATGCAATTAAAATTAGCATTAACATAAACAAGTTCTATTCTCCCTGTTACCCACCGCCACCTTAAATAGGTGGGACAACGTTTACATGAAGCAGCTTCTATTCACCCCAAAAAAAGATGGTACGCCATTAAGTTTCCAAGACATCAAAGTTGTAGGATACTTATTTAGCAGAATGCATATGCATCCGCATTAGCCTGGTTAATTAGGGATCCTCTACAAATCTTGATAGCTAATCCGACAAACATAATATCAAAGAAGATTAGCAATGTTTCTTACCTTCATAATCTTGGATCCGTCAACTCGGTACCTAATGCGCTTCCCAACAATCTCGGCAGGCAATACAACATCCTCCAGCATTGCTTCATGCACAGCAGTCAATGTGCGGCTACGTGGACGTTGCACAGCAGAACCCTTCTTTGGAGGCCTCAATATCCTCCGGGTGGCAATCAAGACTACATCCTACAAGTTCAAGAAAAGTTCAAAACATATAACAAAAATATCGCACAAAATGGAAACTGGTAACTCATAGTGAGCAATTATAACCAGAACTGCTCTCCGGTGACTAGAACTACTCCATGAATTATAACCAAAGGTACAAGGGGGAAACGATCCAAACGTTCAATAAACATTCGAAGCAAAGATAACTTGTTTGTGAGTGCCATTTTCCCTTTTCTTCTTTTTTTTTTTGGATTGTTTTTTGTTTTTTTTTTTTGGGGGGCGGGGGGAGTCACATGTTTATTACAGAAATTTGCCATAATAATCGGTCAACAACATATGGACAATGGAAACAATAAATAAGGGAAGCAAACTGGTGAATTACACGTTTACATCTTGCCAGTCCATCAGCAAGACATAAATCAAATGACTTGTTATTAGTAAATGTTGAAATACCAATATAAAAGATTTCTCGTACTATTTTGATGTCAGTATAACTAATAGTCTTAATCCCTCAACTATTATCGACATTATTAATATCAATATTGTTATTACTATTAATATTAATATTATTGTTGTTAAAAATGGATGTCAAGATACTGATCAACCGTCAATGAGTCAGTGGCGATCAACCAATACACGAGATATCGAAGTCAGCATACCTTCCCACTGAACTTCTTCTCAAGCTCTCTGACAAGCCTAACATGAATCTTCCTAAAAGCCTTCCTTAGTCTATAGGGAACATGTATAACCACAGCCTTGCGGTTCCCAGATACATCAATTTGACTGCACATCAAGACAAATGTCAGCCATAATTCACGAGACAGGTAGACGTTACAAAACTTCAAACACGCAAACATGCAATAAACATACTTACACAGCTGAATTTATGTATAGATCTTTCAAATCACTTTTCAGCTCCTGATTCGTATTTTCCAAATCAAAGAAAGCCTGGAACAACAGAATTAAACCCCAAAACAAAATTATACGATGACAAGAGGAAACAGCATATAGGCAATGATGGGTTAGCAGCAACAGAAGCATTATATAATATCAAAACCTGCCCAACCGACTCTTCAAACTCAGTTGGCTCAGCATTATTGTCTTTATGGATTTTCTTCCTTGACGTGTACATCTTCACTACTCTGGTGAAAGAACATTGAGGAAATAATATCAAGAACCTACCTTTGGATATATTAAAATATAACAAATATTGAAAGAAACTAAGTTTAGAGTGAAAAATATAAGTTTAATTTAAAACTACAAGAACATTATCATTTCAAGATTCCGAGCACTACAACCCCTATCACAATTACTGTGGTTAATAAGACATACTGGAGATTTGTTCTCTTCTCTTGTCGCATAACCACTTCATTTTAAGGGATTTTAATGCAGCATAGAGCAAGGATTGAGGTTCACAATTCTCATGACAGAGCAGAGGAACCAAAGAAAGTTTTGCAATAGCATATTCATAATTCCTTCCAGGTAAAAGGTAATTCAGGTCTTCGAAGCTATTGAGAACAGAAATCAGGACAAAGAACAACAGTTTACAAATACGTCGTCCAGTATACGACTTCTCTGAAATATGTTCTATGACTATAGCTTCTGCGAAAACAATTCATTTACGAATGCAAACACAACCATCAATCAAACATTCAAACCAGCCGCCGCACTATGTTGATTTCCACAGAAACATATAAGAGGGAACCTATCTCCCACCCTCCATTGAGTTTTCTCAATTAATTTGCAGGAGGAATCGAAGTTCAAGCATGTTCTTGGTTTAATCCTCACCTCAGAAAGAGCAAGCCACCGGACAGATCCGCTGCCTCGGGTGAGAGACTCTGGTCAGGCTTCGCCGAGTTCACTGAAAACCCTAGGGTTTGAGTGATGTCCTTTGGTTATATAGACATGGAATGAACGCCTAGGATTAGTTTTTGTGCACGTGGACGCGTGATATTTAACGACAGCCATAATCTATGTGTGTCCGGGTGGATGCCAATTTATATTTTGTTGATTTTGATATTTAGAAATAATTACAAATATATTTTTTTGCGAAATGAATAACTTCAAGATAAAAATTTTATATCCATTTTATCAATTTTTTTTGCCAAGAATTTTTATATAAATATTAAATGTATCAATACATGATAAAATATATAACAAACAATATTATTTATAAATTAAGAATGTCAAATTGTGTTGATTAAATTTTGTGCAATACACAAATCTATTTATCTAGTATTGTGAGCATATTAGAAGTGAGACAGAAGAGGTCATTTAATTTTTCACAATCACATGCATTAAATTACTTTTTTATATTTTTCGTTTATTTATATTTCCGTTTTTTTCCCAAGTTTTGTGATTTACATTAATTCACATTATTTCAATGATCAGCAGATTTTCAAGTCATATATTGATGTAATTGAATGGGCTTTTATGCGTGGTTAGCTAAGACTTTAGATGGTCCATCGCAAACTAGCAAATTAAAACTTCCAATTAGCAAAGGAAAAGAAGCAGAAGAAAAAAGTCCATAAAAAGACCCCCCAAAAAAAAAATAGCGCAAGTAGACCTCATACTCATGGCAATGAACATTTTTAAAATGTAACTTGTTTTATTATATCACATCACGTATTATCATGTCTTTTTTATTTAAACTTATAATCAATTTTTTTGAAACATAGATATCTTTTTATTAGAGATAATTTTATTCAAGGATAAGTACTAAATGTGAGGAGCTGTCCAAATAGAGATTCAAACATATAATCAATTCTTAAACCAATCCACTTGGGTGTGGTATTCCGTCGGATTTGGGCTTTGGGCTCTGTTTGTTGGGTTTTCGTGCTACTGAATGTTTCTAGGTAATGAATTTGCATTTCCGTTGGCCCAGTAAATAAAACGGCTAACTCAATCAAATTGTGTAGGCCATTCCCAATCTACAGATCTCTAATGACCCAATATAAGGGGGAAAATCTCCCTTTTATCTCGTTGCGTTGAGGGGGAAAAAAGACATGGAACTTTTAACGAATTTGAACACTAAATAGATTATAATAACTACTCCATATTTTTAATACAAGAACTAGTTAAAAATTTAATTAGGTTATAAATATAAGACCTCAATTTAATTTGTTTCTAATTTTTATCCATTTTGTCCCAAGTAATATTTATAGTGACTGCATATATTACTCTAGGTAATTTTAATACACATAATTAATAAGAGTATTTTAGTGAACACAACATCTATTTATTACAAATAAATAACTTAATTAACTTTCTTAAAATTAATGATCTAGCTCTTTTTGTACTACTATTAAGGGAGTGGAGGTACTATTATAATTGATTCCGAAATATGTTTTGATATCGTTTTACTTTCCTGGTTCATGCCTCACTTTCAAAAGGACAAAGGACCACCAACGACTCGTGCGCGTGTGTCTCGAGGCAATGTACCATCTATGAAAGCACCCTTGATCTGCAAGTTTCAAAAAGTTGATACTCGGTAAGGGTATTCAAAGCCGGCCCATCTGATCGGCCTGTTCCGGTCCCAGCTTTGTTAGGACGGGACGGGTTCATCTTGAAATTTTTCGAAACAAGACAAATTGGGACAGGACACAGGATAAGGTTGTTCCGTCCCGGTCCCTTTTTTTATTTTTTCATCCTATTTATATAATTTCATTTTTTTATTTTTTTAAGATTTGAGACTATTGTGTGGAACTATGGATATATTCATTTAGAGTTTTTATATTTGTTGATAATTTGAGACTATTGATTATTAGAACTTGTAGCAAGTTTTTATTGTGTTAAAAGCTTTTGTTTAGAGTTTTTAATGACTATTATATGTAATATTTTGGGTTTTTATTTAAGGGTGCCCAAAGAAATAAAAAAGAAAACACAAAGATGTTTTTACAAGACTTAGACCCAAAAAACTACCATTAGAAAAAAAAAATCAGATTTTATTAAAATAAGACCAGGACTGGGACAACACCAGAACGGGACACGGAATAGAAAATTTATCCTATTACTGTTTATCGGGACAGATCTGTCCCGGTCCCGATCCCAATCCGTCCCGTCAACAATCCTCTGTTACTCGGAATACTTTTATGTGATTTGGCCACTGTGCTGAGAACTGAGGAAAAGAATGAGTTTTTAATCTAATGGGTTTTTAGTCTATCTTCCCCTCACTTTCCAATTATCCGTGGCCTTGCAAATGTCAGACTCTTCTCGTCAGACCAACACAAAAACTAAATCATCAGAGCAAAAGCAGGGCCGAACAACCACAACAACACGTTAATCTTGTACAACAAATCAAGCACCCTCTACATAAATCCAGTAGTCATATAAACTATTAATTAATTGACAGTTGCTTCATATCAGATAACAAATAACATCATGGGATGTAGTGTTTGGTTCATGACAAAAAGAACCAGAACCCCTAAATTCTTATTCTTTACTAGTTTTTGAACTGCCACAGTTCATCCGTGCCCCACATGCTGCATGTAACATCATTGTTCATCCAGTTTCCTACCATAGTAGCCTCAGCTGTCACTGTTGTTCCCAGATTGAATGTTTCCATGTCGTAAGTATTGTTATTAACATAGTGTCCATCATACATAAAGGAGCTCATGTCACTGGCATCTAAAGCCTGAAACTGAGACACTTCTGGGATGTTTGATGATTCTGAGGAAGAAGAAGACACGCAGGAACTGTTTTGAACTGTTTCATTCATCCCACAAGGTCCCTGCCAAGGAAACCGTGTTGGAACTGTCCCTATCTGTGAACACAGGGAAACACTGTCAATAGGCAAAGGAATCTTTTGGTTTTGGATTAACATAGCAGGAGCAGGTGGTGGTGGAGGAGGAGGAGGAGGAGGAGGAGGAGAAGCTGTTTCTCTCGCTTTCTGCAGCAATCTTGGAATCCAAATTCGCCTCACGATTTCTTTAAACTCCGCGCTGTTTGTGTCAATATTCAAGTGTCTTGCTTGTTTCTGAATCCGAGTTCTCCAATAGTTCTTGATTTCATTGTCTGTCCTCCCTGGAAGTCGCTGTGCGATCTTTGACCACCTGGTACGAACAATCCCATATACTGAATGAACAATAAAAGTTGATAAAACTTACGAATTAGTCATAGGATAGAACCGAACAGAGCAGGTACCTGCTGCCCCACTCTAAGTAGAGTTGAAGGATCCAAATCTGCTCTTCTGGGGATAAATTTCCTCGCTTTACCTGTGGGTTCAGATAATTAAGCCATCTTAATCTGCAGCTCTTTCCCGTTCTCTTCAACCCTGACTCACAAAAAAGAAAAGAAAACGAAAATCAGAATCAGCAGAGAGATTGCTTCACCTTTTTGAGCTCTACTGTTCACAGTTTTATCATTACCTGAACGTTTTGCCAGCAAATTCCATCGTCCTTCCCCATGAGCAGAGACGTACTCTGTTAACAGAGTATCTTCTTCAAGAGTCCAAGGTCCTCTCCTAAGTTCATTATCATCTTCACTACAACTGCTCTCGCTCTTGGAAGCAGACATGACTGCTTTTACAGAGGAAACCCTGAAACACTAAGCTTTTATATATGCAATAGATGAAGAAGAAGCCGAAAGAGTCTAGAAGATATAGAGTTCGAAAGCAAATTGGTCTGCCCAAGTTATACAAGTAGCAGGTCTAAAGTTTAAGGCTTCACACTATAAACTCTCAATTACTTTTCTAAAGGGGCGAAAAAAAAAATAAAGTAATAAAACAGTAGTGATATAAAAAATAGAGTAAAGTAATAAAATAGTAGTGATATAAATTCCACAAGACAGCTTCCATTCATCTTCCGTAGTCAGTGCCACTGGAAACTTTTAAAGGGGGTGATAGATGTGAACTAGATAGGTTCATTGTTTGGCATCTCCATAATCCTGCTTGTAGACAAAACGACAGATTTTAATTTATAGGAAGGATGATGTGGTACACTGGCTGCGCAAATGGGAAGTTTGCTTTAGTCCTAGCCAGATTGGCTGTTCTAATTGGTAATTAGCCCGACAGGGAATGGACCCTAAAGAAATGTACTCCATGTGAAGACATCTCGAAAGGTCTTCCCTATTTTATTTCAGATAGTAAGTTGTCTTTTTTACTTTTCTTTGCATCCATGTTAGATTTGAGCATCATGAAATAAACCTTTTTAGCATGATTTTTCCTATTCATAGATTCGAATATATGACTTAAGGTGGTGCTCCTTCTGGTTTTAAACGTGAAAGCTAGAAAATTAATACATACACATGAAGGGAAATTAATTAAATTAATATTATTTTGTTAGAAAAAATGTAAGTTTTAAACTACCTCTCCTTTTAATCATTTACATTAGAAACTATTTTTACTAATCACACGCCTTAATACATGTAATCAGTATATGAGTAATTTTAGGTTATAATTATAATTATAAATATGATAGATAAAGAAGATTAATGTTTTTCTCTGAGAATCAAAATGAGCTCCTTAATTAATTTATACATTTAGAATTGGACAAAATATTGAATTCATTTCACATGACTTATTTATAATGATGAATTCATTTATTTTAACAACCATAAGAACAACAAATATCATCCCAATAAATGGGACATGTAACACGTTATACTTTGTCAATAACTAACCCTTTAAAAATATGACTTTTGAACATGTTTATTAAAAACATGGTACCTGAGCTTTTTAACGGTCACTTGTTTCTTATAAGTAGATTAAGAGGAGGTATTATTTATCCATAATTCTCCATTGATGACTTTTCTGAAGGCCCAGAATGTCCTTCTCAATCTCCATCTGTATTTATTTTACAAGTTGCATCCCCATGTGATCCTTTTTATAAGTTATAAATAAATGAATCGCATAAATTAAAAAATTAATTAAAAATAATTAAAAATAATAAATGCGTAAAAAAAGCACATTTATTTATAAAGGGAGAAAATGGGTTGGAAAAAAATGATACCGATATGTAATTAAATAAGAGTAAAAATAAAATAAAATTTTAGAGATGTTGAGAGTGTAACTTACAAAAAGATAAGATATAGTGGTCAAGAAATTGTAACTCGTGGAAAACATCAAAGCAAGGAATATGAAACAGAGGAAGCAGTAAAACAGAATGTTGAAAATGAGGGGAGGAAGGGTTTTTGGTGATTAAAGCGGGCGATAAGAACAAGGGGGGAGCAAGGATCTCAATTTTCTCGCTGCTTCAAAATCAAAGGGATCAGAAACGTGCTTGACTGGAAAATGTAAGCATGGGAATGGGAAATCTAAAGAAAACGTGCTGAATTAGCCTTATTGCGGGGGCGGCCTTAATTATAGTTCGCTAGGAATCTCAGAGCCTGACCATTGTTTTATTTTCTAGTGGTTCTCGTACCTTTATTACGCCATGCCCGCCTCCCATTGGACTCCCCCCATTTCTTCTCCCAAAAGAAATAAATATCTAAAAATTAACAGGCTGTTATTCCATTTTTAATAGTATTCCCTATGTACTTAATTTAAGATATATTTAATTAATTAAATTAAATTAAAAAAGTAGGTAAGTTAGTTAATTATAAAAAATATAATATTTTTTTCTAAGATATTATAATAATCTTCTTTAATATCCTTCTTCTTTTTCCTGCTTGATTATGAATGAAGGAGTATTAATAGGGATAGTTTTGAAAAAATTAATAAATTTGAAAAATAGATGTTACATTTGAACTAAGATCAATTCGATAATTAGGTCCTATATTAAGGACAGAAAGAGTAGACTTTCCTTGTTACTTCATCATATGCTTAATGTAAAAGTTAAATAATTATTATAGGTTTTGGGGATTTTTTTTAAATTAGTCATTGATTAAAAAATGCGTGTTGATTTTTAAAAAATACCTTTTAAATTATTTACATTGGATGCATTTATTAATGAAACCCTTAGTATATATGGAGAATACTAACATCAAGTTCTTTACATCTATCATGTCAAGTTAGTGTTAAATTATAAATCTACATGAAACTAAAAAAAAGACACATAACCACATGACATTGAAAAATTAGACATAATGATATAAAAAATTTAACATAATATTTGTTATTATATATAATTAATAAAAATAGTTTGAAAAAAATTATAAATTTGAGAGGTGAAGTGTATTTAAGTTTTACCTTCAACACCATAATAAATTTCTTAATTAGCTTGTGCATCTGAGATCATAGGGATTAATTTCTTTCTAGAAAGCATACCAAAAATATTTGTGTTTGCATATTTTTTTTCCCATTGGTTCCACTGCTTTTATTCAATATACTCCTCTGGTTTTTAATATAGGACCCAATTGTTAAATTGGTTTTGGTCCTAAATATAAGACTTATTTTTTCTTATTTATCAATTTTCTCTAAATTATCTCTATGGATATTCCTTCAACCATAATCAAGTAGAAAAAGAAGATGGAGTATTAAGAAAGATGATTATGGTATTTTAAGAAAAACGTGTCACATTTTTTATAATTAACTAACTTACCTAACTTTCTTAATCTAATCAAATTAGTTAAATAGATCTTATATTAAAAGCAGAAAGAATAATATTTTTCACTTCTTGCTTAGGTTGGAGCCAACCAATACTCCATACATGCACACACGCACACCCCCGCCCACAACAATATTAACGTCTCACGAAATCTTTCCGCATTTTTTTTCTTCAGAGGAAAAAAGACTGCTTTCTCAGACTTTTAACTCCTCCCATATTTGACTTCGCTCCCCGACGGGTCACTTTCTGCTTTCTAAGTACACTGTGATGGAGCTTCAACAACCACTCATTAATGGCGGTATGATTGGTCAGACCGTCAAAGTAAGAATATATAATAAATTATATTATTATTGTTTCTTCATATAAAATTTAGAGCTACAAAATATTTGAAAAATCTCTCCTCAAGTTTACCAAATCTAATCCAACTTGTTTTCCAGGTTAAATTCAATTAAATATAGAGTTTCAATTAATTACTGCAGTCTTCAAATTTTTGGGGGGAGGGGGGGACAGATGATTTAGGTGGGGGTAAGTAACCATGATTGGTGCCTGCATATACCAAAGCTTGATCTTTATACCTCATCAACAAAGAAATTAAAAGCTAGTTAACTGATAACTATTATCTATTTATCTCTATTAAGTACATTAAATTTTCATGTTAGCTTTCTAATTTCTTAAATATACTCATTTGATCCTATTCATGAAACATTCTAAGATATGTCACGGGAATTAAAAAAACCATAAATCTTGTTAGCTTTATTTTTAAATTTAATAACTTTCTAATTTTACCCACATTTAGTTTACATACTTTTGAAGAAAAATAACAGTTTATAAAACAATAAATTAGAAATAAAATTATATATTTATATAATAAATTTAATAAGGTGATTTATATTAAGAATTCTCCTTCTATCATATAAATAGAATAAAAATCGTAGAATGCTTGGACTAGAAAGATTATAACCCTCAAATTTCTTAAATAATAAAAGAGTTAATATAAACTTTGGTCCTTTAAATTTATCCTCATTTTAGTTTTAATCCCTTAAGTTTCAAACTATAAATCTTGGTCCCTCAAATTTTTTTTTTGTTAAAACATTGATCTTTATAATCTAATAAAAATTTAGACCATTTTATCCTTGAAGGACCAAAACTTATAGTTTAAAATTTGAGGGATTAAGATCAAAATAAGAGCAAACTTGAAAGACTAAAAATTATATTAACTCATAATAAAAATTTAGTTTGCACAAGTTAACGATGCACAGGTTCAAAATTAAATTGGCATTTTGAATTTGTTGACAAATTAGAAGTAACTTTCTTGCGCTGGAAGATGGACGAGGAGCTCATTGAATGGTGAGGAAGGGCTGGCTTTTGAATATAGATAGTGAAAGAGACAACATGAGATGATGAGACACGTTGAGTGACAAAGTTGTACAAGTATTTTGCTGAAAAAAGGAAGCCTATGAGGCTATGAATTTCTTTTGGCCTTGACGTGAGGCTAGGAATTGAATCCCCAAGAAGTAAGAAAATTTGACCCTCAAAATCAAAGAGGCCATAATTTCACGCCGTCATAACGTTGATTATATTTTATCTCATATAAACTTGCTCATTCATATTCAACATTATTAATTACTTGAAGTGTTGGTCTACTCTGTCAACACACTCGAGTTTGTTACTTTAATATCCATTTATGCACAAAAGCTTACCTTTCTATGGGATTGTGGTTATAATTAGTATTGTCAAATTCACGGATTCAAGTGAACTCATAATAAAGATATAAACTCAAATAATAACTTCAAATTGTAAACTCGTATTAGTTTTTTGATATTATCATCCCCTTGATTTGGTTTTGGGTTTATGACTTTTCCTTTTTATAAAAGTGACTCTTCTGAGACTTAAACTCGAGATTTAAAGAGATCTAACGAGGTCTTATACTGTCAAACCAACACCTTGTTGGCAAAACTTGTGTTGGTTTACTTTTATCAATAAATAAATATTAAAAGTATATGATTAAAATACAAAAAATTCACAAAAATTGATTTAAATATATTTCAATTTCAAAACCTTGAAATTTTTTTGGAATACAGAGAAATTATGTCATATAAAATAAAAGATAGAATGCTGTCTTGTGGAGATAATCCCTCTTGAAAATAAAGAAATACTATGAATAAGTATCAAATCATTTGGAGCACATCCATCAATATTCATCATACTCGACATGAAAATTTCTATAAAATTCAAAGGTTGTATTAATA